TACGCGATGTTCCCAATATATAGAATAAGTTCGCGAATTTATCACATAGTCTATGACACTTGAGTACTTGTGTGCAATACTCGTTGCTATTCTCCGGTACTCCCTTATAAGGAAAGAAAAACAAGATTGCACCGGAGATTACCACTACGAGACGCTCTATATTTTTTATGCACTTTATATACACTTATTTTTATATATGTCGCTACTCTATAGAATTATAAATATTTGCACAAAGAGTGTCCCGGAAATCGCAAATATGACGGCAAATCTGACACAGATTTTTTTTCTTGATTATTGATATTAAATTATAGATTCTTATATTTAGAATTTTGATAAATATTTTTTATTATTTTCAATCGTATTATTTCACTCAGATTTATTTTTTTAACGGGACAGTCGATCGCAGCTATCAAGAATTTTTTCAAGAGAGAAATCTACTCCAGATTTGCCCCTAGATTTGTAATTAAAATTAAAATAAATGTAATTAAAATTAAATCATTCCAGGACACTTTATAACGCGCTTGCGTTTTTCTATTCTATTTTGCATCTTACGTGATCACGATGTTGGAGCACACACAATCTATATCTTGTTATATATACCTATGAACAGAAGCTAATGATTTACAGCTAATGATCTATTATACATTTCATAAATTTGTAATCGCAGTTCTCTCCTTTGAGAGTATTTGATTACTGGATTTCCGCAACTTTTCGAAATGTCCTTGGAGATATCTACAGACTAACCAGACTCTGAAAGAGAAAAAAGTAAAGTCTGCGAAAAGCTGTCTCGTACTTTTGCTACTGCTTGACATTGTCCTGCTGTCCCCAATGTGCTCTATTAGTCATTTAAAAAGGAATTTGCTCCTATGGAATAATTTTTCTGTCACATTCTTCTATAACTAATATTAATTTATAATTCAACTCGGAAAACTGTACAAATTTAAGTTGAAACGTGACTTATATCATGCGAATTTACTAATTTATGTTATAATAAGAAGAATACATATTTAATATATCGCATTGATATATCTTATCGTAATGTTATTCGAAAAGAAAGAAGAAGATGGAGAGTTGATAAGAGAAAATTGTATAATTGAGAAAATACGTATAGTTCGCAGACGTATACGCATATTTGCGTAATCTATTTTTCGCGATACCGTATATCATACGTTCGAATATGTAATAAAAAAAGAAATAGGAAACTGAAAATAAAAAACTCTCTATATATGTATGTATGTGTATATATATATATA